TTTCTAGTGCGAAGAGGAAATTTCAAGTCAGCCAATTTCCTGCTACTGTCCCAAAGACAGCTCTCTGAATTTAGTAGGGATGTGAAAAGCTTTTTGCTTGAGAAAGCCTGAAGACAGCTTGCTCTTTTTTTTTGCCACAGTAATGAGATGTTAAATAAACATAAAAATGAATAATCAGTAATGAAATAATAGCATTATGAAAAAGAGCTTGGATTGCAGTAGACCTAACTGGAAATAGCCTACTGAAGGCCTCCCACATGAAGTTTGCTTAAGGAAACATCAAGGTTGTTGTCAGGTTAACGTGAAATCTGCCCTTCAGAATTTGTTCTTTTACTGTCATTGTTTCAGTCTTTATTGCTGTAACATAGTACCTGAGACTGGGTGGATTTGTGAAGAATAGAGACTTATTTGGGCTCAAGGTTCTGGAGGATGAGACGTCCAAGAACATGATTCTGGCATTTGCTGGGCTTCTGATAAGAGCCCTGTGCTGCTTCAACTCATGGTTGAAAGCGGAAGAGCAAGTGGGCGTGAGGAGGAGAGAAATACCAGAGGCAGACCGGCTCTAAAACAACTCATTAATCCTTTTTCATGACCCAATCACCTCTAAAAGGCCTCATTTCCCAACACTCCCACACCGCAGTGGGAATCAAATCTCCATATGGCTTTCAGAGGAGACAAACCTTATTCAATGCCCAGCACATCTCTTCTGGTACGTGGAAGGAATGCTTGTTTAGAATGATTCCATAAATTAGAGCAATCAAGTGACTCCTGGCCACTCAGGTAGGTTTCTTTCGGTCCTCTGTATCAGAGTCCTTTTAGTTCCCAAAGGCATGAATGACACAAAAGCACAAGGAGAAGATACAAGTGGCTGCCACTTTTCCTGTGATGTGTGTAAAATTACTACTTCCTCATTGGAATCTATAGATTCACACATGTATTCTTGTGTGTGTATGTGAATGAAGACATTTGGACAGGATATTTACATTTGGGATGGGGTGGGAAGGACAATGAAGGACAGTTGCTGAATCTATGATGCAGTCAGTCAAGGGGAAGTGTCAACTAAACCTTTTTGGATGAGACCCCTTTGTTTTTCTGGATTCTGTTTCTTTGAGGCACATCTACAGGAAGATTTTCACATGAGGTGTTTGGGGTTTATCCAGAAAGCAGAGTCAGAGATGGGAACTAAAGCAGGGCTTCACTCCTAACACAGCAAAGCATAGACAGTGCAGGGGATGGAATAGCATTCTCCAAGACTGACAAGCAAGCTGGAGTTGGTATATTAGGTGTCTGTATATGTATGAGGATTCTGATTTCTAATAACTTAATGAGGACTTAGTAAGTAAAGGTTTAACATACACTAAACCATGACTTCATGTATATTATTGCTTAGGGTAGTAGTGATATAAGGTTTCCTTAAAATCACTCAAGTAGAAAAAACAAGTGTATTGAAAAAAATATTAAGTAGAAACGTTCAATATACAAATATGGCAAAAACTGTGAAAAGAGTTTTATGAATGACTGAGCTTTGGGAAAAGCTAGGTTAGAGGATTGGATATAATCTTTTAAATTAAATAGTCGTTATCTGTCGTGCTATGGGCGAATGTCAAGGAAATGGAATTGCAAACTTTTTGTTTTGAAAATGCACAGGATGAATCCATCTTGGCCAATGTCATATTTCCTGTGTTAAATCAACCGTGATTACTAAGGCTGTGAAGAGAAGCCTGTGTTTGTTCAGGGCTCCTGGAGGTGTGTGGTGTGTCATAGGCATAATGAACGGAAAGGACAATTTTTCACAAGAGTGTTACACAAAGTGGAAACACACAACAGTCACTAGGGTATGACTGAATCCAGCTTAGTGGTGTGGCCTCTGCTTGCAAATGGTAGGCTGGTTCCCATTCTTTGTCCCCTTGTCAAGCAGCTTTGTGGCTATTCTCTTCTGTAAGCAAAATGCAACTTCTCACACCAAATTTATGGGCTTGACAAAGTTGCAAATTTTATTACGCAAAAGTTGAGAGTTGTGCTGAAGAGTGCTAATAACAGCACACTTTGTTACTGTGTAGTCTCTGTATTTGGGACTTCTGGTGTTTTATTTATAGACATCTATTAATACAGAGCCAGAGATAAAGAAAGGATACATAAAAGAATATAGCTTTATCAAATAGTGTCCAGCGCTGGATTGTAACATCAAAAGCAAAGCTGCAACAGCAAACTGCGGTTGAGGGGAGAAAACGTTCTTGTTTCCTCGTCTCCTCTTCTTGTCCCTTCGCTCTGGGGACGCAGGGCTACAAAGAGCCTTTCCCCTGTTAGTTCTTTGAGGGGGTGCAGGGTTGCACCTCCATATTTATAAAACCTCCATATTTATTCCTTATCCAGCTTTTGAACTTCCCCCTCCTACCTCCTTTTCTAATAATGCCATAACTGGAGGTGGGATGAGAACATCTAGCTTGCAAAACTGGTTTGTTGGGGTTCTCCTGCCTTCCGCTGGCTCTCCTAGATTCTTGGGAAAATTGCTTGCTGGGTAGCTGCCTAGTAATGCTACAAGCTGCCTTCTCTGGGCTTCACAGGGGATACTCCTTCCTCACTACTGCAGAGGGGGCTGTGGCAGAGCAAGGGAGGGAGGGATGGAGGAAGGGCAGGTTCTATCCCTTCCTCCAAGATGCATGCACACATAAAGGGACCTGGAAATACAAACACATTGTGCAGGCACCTTGGGGACACAGGAGTCAAAGACTGGGGCAGGATTATACTTGGAAAGATCGGATCTTCTCAGGTCTGAAATCCTGCATTTTTATGTATTTTCCAGAAGCTCTAGAAGGCCGGGATAGGGGTGGGTCGCTGCCCAGATTTTGCATTTCTAATTTGAATACATTCACAGGATGACACAGGAGAAGAGGGCGCAAGAAGGCACCAGTGGGCGCAGGTGACACCCAGGGTACAGGCCTGGGGGGTGTTCCAGGAAAGGGCTGAGGACAAGCTGCTCCTGACTGTTGCTAGCGTCTGGGCAAATTTGCCTGAAGGTTAAAAAAGAAGAGGGGGAGGTGTCGCCAAGACGCATTTCCCAGACGTCTTCGGCCTGCTCACTCGCTCGGAGGCAGCTCGGATCTTGGGAATGTGACCTCAGCTTTCCGGTCTCAGCCGGTTTCAGGGAGGGCCATCCCGACTTCTCACTCGGGCCCAGTTCAAGGGGGACCTGTGTCCTCCTGGCACCCAGGGCTGGGCTGAGGTGAGGGAAAGCCCCCAGACCGCATCCCACAAAGGCTCATTTGGAGGAGGCACCTGGGGTGTGGGAGGGACGTGCACCCCGCACCTCTATCTTCTTGTAGCGCCTCTCAGAGAACAGGTGTGCTGGCATCCCCCATAGCTACTGTGGGTCCCCAGCTGTGACTTCCAGGGAGGCCCAGGGGACCAAGTGTGCCCAAATCCAGCTTCAGTGATAGGATGAAAATCTCTGCCGAATTTTAGAGGTGAAAAAGTGATTTCATGGGATCCCGGTCAAGTGTTAGAAATGGGTCCATGCTGGAATCCCCCATCCTGTCCGCAGGGTGGAAACCAAGGATAAGGAGGAGACAGAGGACTTTATCCCTCCAGCGCCCCTAGGTCCTAGATAGAGACTCATCTTTCTCCTGTGCAGGGAAAAGGTTGCAAATCCATCTTGGAGGTCTTAAGGAGCTCCCTGGGAGAACTTCGGCACAGCTTGGACATTCTGGACATTTCCGGGTTCCCTCAGCAGAAAGTGGGGCTGACTGAAAGAGCGAATGTGTTTTGCTTAATTCATTAGGCCATGTTGGCACCTGCGTGTTAGTGGCCTGTGGTCACCTGAGGGGCGCACACGAAGGTTAACTAGACCGAAAAATGTTTTGAAAATGCCGACACATTATTGCGAGTGAGATATTATCTGATCACGTATTGGGCCCTTTTGCTCTAAAAGAGGAGGGGGTCAGGAAAGCTCCCCGAGTGTACGGAGGAAATGCGGTGCTCTCAGGGCCCCCTCTCCCGTGCCAGGGCCATTCCCTGTGCTTCTTCGGCCTTGGCCACAAGTTGTTTCCTGTCCTTTAGAGGCCAAGGCTTTTATTTTTTCGTCCTAATAAAACTCCAGCCCCTGTAGCTCTTTATCTCCCCCTGCTGGTCCTCCCTGCCATTTCTTAAGATCGGTGGTTGAGGAAATAAACCAGACACAGAAGCTTAAAGATCGCATGGTTTCTCTTAGAGGAAAAAGCCAAATTATAAATAAAGAACAAAATAAAGGATGGCTAGCAGGAAGCAGGGAGATAGATCTTTCTGACATGGGAAGGGGATGAAGACACCGCGGGCGAGGGAGGCGCGAGGAAGAAATGCAGATGTGTGATGTACAGGGACCTACTCCGCGCAAGCACTGGAAACATTGTGTACTGTAAACATGGACTAATAACAATTTTTAAAATGCTATTTTAAAAAAAGATCGATGGTATTGACCGTGCATTTACCAGATGGGTGAGCACAGAAAAAATTTTCTGGGGGTTTCTAATGGTGATATTGAGCCCCCTCCCATGGGACGTTTGCCTGACAGAGCCCTATTTTTTTTTTTTTAAGTCTTTCTTCCTTGCCAGTCTCTCCGACCTTTTCTTACTGTAGAAGCAAAAAAATTTTAGGCCCCCCCCCAAAAAAAAAGAGTTGCTGGAGGGGCTTGACGGAAGAGAAAAGCGCATTGATCTGCCTAAATAATTCGACCCAGTGTAGGGGGCAGCGGAGAGGGAGCGCGTCCGCTTGTTTGATCGAGACTAAGTGGGTAGACATAAAAGGAAAATAAAGCGAACAATGAAGAGCACCCCCCCCCCCGCACACAATGCAATCTATTTAAACTGTAGCTCATACTTTTCATACCAATGGTATGACTTTTTTTTTTATGGAGTCCCTTTTCTGATTCTTGAACTCCGGCTGGCAGCTTGCAAAGGGGAAGCTGACTCCAGCCCTGCACGGGCAGGTTTACCAAAGTCTCTAATGGGTATTTTCTTTTTCCTTAGCCCTGCCCCTGAATTGCCAGACGGCGGGCGTCTGCCTCTGAAGTTCGCAGTGATTTCCTTTAGAGCCCGGCCTTATCTCCAGCCGCACGTTGCCTGTTGGTGACTAATAACACAATAACATTGTCTAGGGCTGGAATAAAGTCGGAGCTGTTTACCCCCACTCGATAGGGGTTCAATATAAAAAGCCGGCAGAGAGCTGTCCAAGTCAGAGCGCTTCTGCCTGCGCCTGGCGAGCGGTCCGGTCCGCGCTCTCCCTGCCACCGGGCGCTGCAGCCCGCGGTCGCTGCCTCTGCCTCCGACAGGCCTTGGGGAGTCGCTTTTGCTGTCGGGGAAAGCACCCTGGGCTTCGGGATCACTTCGAGCTCCGAATATTCAGAAGCGCGTCGAGGGAACTGAAGCTGTTTTCTTCGTTTTCCTTTGAATTCAATTTGCAGTAGAATTTTGGAAAAAAATTTTTTTTTCCCCAGAATGGATTATTTCCCTGTGATTTTCCCTCTGCTGCTGGTGACTCTCCACGGGGCTCCAGAAACAGGTAGGCAAGCACTTGTAAACTTTGGAACTTCGGTGTGTCTGACTCACCTGAATGCATTGCTGGCTTCTGTTTTTGCACTTTCTGTTCAGGTAGCTAGCGTCTGGGAAGTTTTGCCCACAGCTCCTTAAGAGTTTTGGTGAACAAATGAAACTCTATTGCCTGCAATTAGATATAGCATAGCTTCAGAAAAGCCTTATTATCACTGCAGAATTTACTTCCCAAGCTTTTAAAAAATAACTCAAGAAGCGTGTAGGGCAGCTGCAATTTAGCCAAACCTGTGTTTGCCATTCCTGTTTTCCTACAGGTACAGGGTATGTTTAGGAACTTACAGCTTATTCAAACACTATTTTAATAGTGTGTTAGCCTGCAACATAGTTAAACGTTCCAGCTTGAAGCCAAGGAATTTTATTCAGGCTGTCCGGGGGGAATATGTGAACAGTGAAATCACCTGAAGAACAGGAGTGTGTTGAGTCACCCCCCGGCGATTTCAGGGCGAAGCAGATGTTTTCTTTGAAATTTGTCATTATTGACTTTAGGTTTCTTTTGGCAGGTTTTTGGCACTTAAAACAGCGCGAGCACTATTTTCAGTTAGGTTCACCTGTCCTGGGTGGGGGGCTGGGAGAATTCCCGGCTGTGCCAGGATTTACGCAGCACATGTGCATCTGCCTGTGTGCATCGCATTTTTGGGGGTCAGTGCACCTTTTTTGTCCTTTCGTGACCCTGACCAAAGAGAAAGGCTGTCAAGGGGATGGAAATCTTGGAATGTGTCTGATCATTTGAAATGTACAAAATTGGGCAGATAAGCTGCCTAGCTAGACCGTCAGCGGGATGAGGCGGCGCTGTGTTGGGGAAGAGAGAGATGGTGTATCCCACACAGGCAAGGCTGTCCCGCAGAGTCTGCATTCAGTATCCACAGAGCCTTTATGATGTGCCCGGAGCCGCTTCTCAGCTTCCCTGTGGATCAGGGTTTCTGTGGGGTTTCCCACCTGAAATGAGTATTGAAGAGTTAAGTTCTTCTCTCCCCAATCAATTCCTAGTGCTCTTGTCTTCTGCTTCATTTCAAGAGTGTTTGTCATCTGACCACTCCACGCTCCACACAAGGTGTGAGGTGGTGGGTGCCGTGGAAAGGAAGCTGAATCCTGAAAGGGAGGTGGTTCCGCCCCTAAACATAGGCAGTGTGATTTATTTATCTTTAGTCACTGTCCAGTGCTAAGCCACTGTGGTCTGTGCAGTCCTACTAAGTTCCAAGTCAGATTTGCAATGGGCAGCACTTGCAGGTATTGCCTTGAAGCCTGCTTCAAGGGGTCTGGTCAGTCTCTGCATGGGTGTTATCGTCTCTGTCTCCCTGCAGGTGGACAAACCAGCTAGGTAAAGGTGAAGTCATGTTAAGGAGGAAAAAAAAAAATAAAGAGCCCTTTCCCTCTGTTTGTGTTTCTTGCTAAGGGCAGCTGTACACTTGGTCTGCTTTTATCTGCTCTGCTAGATCTGGCGTAAATACTGTGATCCAGCGTGTCTGGCAGCGTGTCTTGTGTCTGGAGCGACACCCCCACTCATCTGAACTCTCTCTCTCTCTCTCTCTCCCTGCAGTGGTCTCAGGTGCGGAGCTCAGCCTGAAAGCTCACAGTGGAGGGGAGAAGCCCCCTCCCAGCGTCCCAGGGGTGTTGCGCCGGTCCAAGCGCTGCTCCTGCTCCTCCCTGCTGGACAAGGAGTGTGTCTACTTCTGCCACTTGGACATCATCTGGGTCAACACTCCCGAGTGAGTCCCTAGAGGGCATCGTAGCTCTAGTCATTCCTCAGCTCTGGCTTCTCTGGTACTACGCTGGCTTTCTGGGGAGTTTCTGGCTTGGATACTGAAGGTAGCGTTTCTAGCAATGGGAAAGTGCATTAGTGGCAGCTATACTTTGGCCAACAGCAATGGACGAGTGGGGCCCCAGGCTCAGGCTGCTCATTATGGGGTGGGATGCACGGAAGGAGCCAAGGATTGGCAAGAAGCTGCTGCACATTCTGGATGAGCAACTCACTCAACCCTTAAGTGAGGGGACACACAGATGCTCCTGTGGGAGGGTTGGACTTGGGTTAGAGAATAAGCTGGTGAGGTCTTATGTGCATTTCTACCCTATGCTTCTCCTAAGAGGGTGGAGAGTGATCGGTGAAAGGAGTAGAGAGAGTTTTCATCCAATCCCTTCATGTTATTTATAAAAAGCTCCAATTCAAACTGTAGAAGTCCCTTCTGTAGCAGTGAACTTGAGGCAGAACTTGAATGGGACCCTGTGGCTCCTTCTTCTATGTAGAAAAGCCCATTTGATGACAGAAACAGAAATAGAGCTCATGGGCTTCACTTCCGCTCACACAGTAAAGAAGAGCAGCATCCCTTCTTTGCCCCCACAACTAGAACATCTATCAGAAGCAGTCACAAACAAGAGCCTATCTGTCATGTCTACAGTGTCCATTGTGCTGCGGGAGGACTTAAACCCAAACACAGTCAAGCCAAAACAAACACCCTAAGCCTAATTCTTAATAAGCTAGGACGTCCCCAAGGTGGCCTTTTTTTCCAGATGAGAACCAAAATGGACACAGTGTAAATTATTGGAGAGCTCCTGGCAATAAGGCCCTCTTCAGCTACTCGATGCCTCCTTACTACGGAACTGTGTAACCCTGAGTGTCCCCATAGGGGTCACCTGTAACTTCATCATCTGTGATTTAGATCGAATACAGGTCTTAAAACTCCTGCAAGTCATGGTCTTGCAGTAGTTTTTCTGCTGCTTGCCATTCTCCACTCCCAAGTGACTGTTAAGTAGATAGACTATTAGAAAAGGAAGAAAATATAAAACAGACACCAAAGCAGAGATTTGGACAAAAAGCAATGTTGCTTGTATCAAGAAGAAACTGAACTTTGTCAAAAGTTGAGACAGAATTTCACTGAGTCAGAAAAACTAGCTTTCTCTTGGGTGGACACATCCATGTTCCTGGTGTCGCCACTTTAAGTTAGTGCCCCAGTGCTGTGTGCTTAGCTTGCTGTGCGGCCAAAGGAGTGAGTGGGTGGAAAAGAATGTGTCATTTGGAAGACTATTAATTATGCTAATGTCTTTTGTTCCTCTCTTTTGATAATAGGCATGTTGTTCCCTATGGACTTGGAAGCCCTTCTAGGTCCAAGCGCTCCTTGAAGGAGTTATTTCCCCCAAAGGCAACAGAACATAAGAACAGATGCCAATGTGCTCACCAAAAAGACAAGAAGTGCTGGAATTTTTGCCAAGCAGGAAAAGAACTCAGGTGAGTAGAACAGCAGCAGCAACAACAACAGAAAACTACCTTTGCTTTTCGGTCAGTCGTGCAGCCTGCTGACCTCCTTCCTGTTGTAAGGCTGCCTTCTTGTTCTGGAGAGAGTAGCAGGGATGTTCAGAGTCTAGGTGAATCTGAAGATACCGCTGCTGACATGGTTTTTCCTGTGTGTCTTAACAGCTTCCAGGACACAATGGAGAAAAGCTGGGATAACCACAAGAAAGGAAAAGACTGTTCCAAACAGGGAAAGAAGTGCATCTCTCAGCAGCTGGTGAAGGGAAGGAAAATAAGAAGGTAAGAGGTCACAAGAATGGCTTAGTCCTGGCCATTGATACTGTGGCCTAAACCTCTAGTCCTCCCTCCCTGGGTGAGTCAAAGGCTTAGAATACAGTGAGAAGAGGATGTACATGGTCTATAGGCTGAAAAGAGCAAGGGAATCCCTCAAGTATTTGCACAAAGACCTTGGTGCAGACTCTCGCCCACTGTACTTCAGCACACACAGTTCATGTTTCAGGTACATTTTCCAAACCAAGCACACTCAGAGAAAGCTCTTTTCTTTGGTCATGTGTGGTATTTCCCTCCAAGTGCATTTCCTTTTTTTTTTAGAAATTAAAAATCATTTCAGGGAGAGGACATTTAAAAAAAATCAAGACATGCATAACCAAGTTTTGCAAAAGTAGCAGTTATTCAAATGGCCACAGGGAAAATAAAGTCATTAGGTTGGGTTGGTGAGACTCAGAACATGCTGTTTTTTGAGTTTATTGTTATTTTTTAACTAGGGAAATGCATTTGTGGAGAATTGCTATCATTTCACAAAGGTCCCACGGGGTTAGTATGAGCAGCTTTACAGGGATGGTCTTTCCTAATCCTAAACCTCTTGACACTCATGACTTTGAGGGAGGAAACCTTTGTTCCAATCCATCTTCTATTCTGCATCCTCCTGCCACGGTCTACAGGAGCTTTTCTGGGAAATTCAGAGGCTAGAGGCTCTGCAATGGAAGCATTCCGAGCTGAGGCTTGGCAGTCACGAGGGTCATCTGAGTTGATTACTCCTGAGAGTGGTCGGCCTCAGCTAAGCCACTGCACATTTTGAGTTCAGCATCTTGGGCCAGCACTGATTCTACTAGATCACAGTTGCTGAACTGACTTTGGAATTGTGATTGTTTCTATTAGTTTGTGTTATGTCAGCTATGAAATCAGTGTTATAGTTCTTCCTTTTTCTCTTCTCCTGCAAAAAAACGAAAGAAGGAAAATGTTAGGCCTGCACTTTTTAAAAATTACTACAAATATTTATTTTAGGCCTACCTGTATGCTTTTTGCTTTTCTCTCTTTCCACCTGTTGTCAGTTTTTGTGTGATGTAGAAGATGTCTAGGATTCCTGGAAACCTGAGCTGCATAGTTCTAGAAATGTTGTGATAGAGGTACAGAAGATACTAGAACAACTCTGGTTTATTTTAAAATTGGATTTAATGCCCAGTTCCCCTTAGACATGACCGTATGACTGCTCTCCCACAATCTAAGCATAACAGTGCATTTTATTTCACAACGGTAATTCATACCACTTGAGGTTTTATCAAAGGGTAACACGCCGTTGTGGTTGGTGGTGAAAGTTCAAGATCCAGATTTAGATTTGTTTGTGCCAGACTCTAATTTTAGATGTTTCTTTAGCCAAGGAGTGGATTTTTACAACATTTGTTTTCCCTTGTCTTGTTTTAATAGGTTGGAGGCCATCAGCAACAGCATCAAACCATCTTCACCCATTGCAAAGTTGAAAGCCATGCTCAGCAGAGAGCGGAAAGTGACCCACAACCGAACACATTGATCATAGAGCTTTGGGCCTGTCTGAAGCCATTGCCTCCAGAGAAAGAGCCCTTTGGCCAAGCATGCACTCTTCCCACACTGGCTGGGATCAGAGCAACAGAATCCTCCCTGCCTAGACTGCTTCTTATTCTAGAGTGGCAAAGGACCAACGTCCTTCTTGTAAGCATTCCGGGAGAGTGGAGGCATCCCTCAACCTGTCTTCCTCTGCTTCCATTGGTGGTAACTGCTTTTGTCTCTTCTTGCCTTTGGGAATGACAATGGACCTCTCAGAAAGCAGGACACACAATGCCATTCGAATTAGGGTGGCATCCTCCCGAGGGAGGAAGGAGATTCCACAGGAGGGCGGAGTTTCTGAGGAAAGTCCTAAGGGAGTGTTTGCGTCTGACTCAGGCGCCTGGCACATTTCAGGGAGAAACTCCAAAGTTCATGCAAAGATTTTCTAAGGAATGCGTAAATTGAAAACACACTCAAAAAACAAACAGTCGAGTAAAATTAAAAAAAAAAAGACTTGGAGTTTTTGTAAGTCATAAAATGCAAAATGGAAAGAAACTGTTACTACTGTAAATCAGGATGTGATTCATGAGTGTGAGTCTACCTCAGCATTATTGCACTCCGGTCGGAGTATTTCCCACCTTTAATTATTGGTCCCCCAAACTCTTGCCCCTTCTGCCACCCGCTTCCTCTAACCCCACGTCAGCCTCACAGAAGTCTGGTCCAATGTGTCAGTAGTGGGTAAAACGTTTTCATGCTAATCTAGTAGCTCTGATCCTTAAGAAAAAAGATCATACAATCAGGAGCTTCTCTTACCTTGATTTTTTTGAAACATAATGGTATAGGGGCATTTATGAAAGATATGGAAAAGTAAATACTGTTTGTGCTTCAAAGCAGTAAAATTATTTTTCTTTATGTAACCAGCTAATGGAAGAGGTTGGATTGAATGTTGATGTACTTATTTTTTTAGAGATATTTATATTCAAACAATTTATTCTTTATATTTACCATGTTGAATATATGTCTGGGCAGGCCATATTGGTCTATGTATTTTTAAAAATATATATATATTTCTGAATGAAATCGAGAACATGCTTTGTTTTGCCTGTCAAGGTAATGATTTTAGAAAATAAATATTTTTTTTCCTTACTGTACTGATTCTGAGTCAGCTCTGAAATTCCTAAAAGTGAGTCAGTGGGGTAAGAATTTTGAGGAAATGGTTCAAGGTAGTTTTTTAGAAAGGCAATAGAAGAAAAATAGGCTAAAAGCAAGAGAACCTGACCCTTGACTGTGTCTTAGAAGTGGTTTTTATTTGCCATTAGGGTAAAAGCAACAGAAACCAAACAAAGCCAGCTCTAACTGCTCTGTCTTCCTTTGGACGGCAACCTTATACTTCTCTTTCCCGTGAAATACCCTCCGGAGACCTCATCCATTAACTTTGGGGCACACATCCTAGGCAGGATCCCGCAGCCTGAGATGATGGTCTGATGAGAGATGCTTTCTCCATATTAATGGGCTGAAGGAAGGAATGGAAAAAGAACCCCCGAACTGTCCCTAATTTCCCACAATCACACACCAGAGCTGCTGTTAGAAACCAGGCCTGTCTGCTCAGTGTGAGTAGAAGCTCCTAATCGCATATTTTATTGGCTGGGATTAAGAATTTTGTTTATTAAGGAACGCTGAGTACCACTGCTCTTCCGTGGTCACCCAGGGCGGGCCTCCTGCCCATGGAGGTAGAGACAGCGGGAGCCGCTTCTGAGTCACCTCCACTGGGTGCTGGGGTCCACCCTCCTCTCCACGCTGCTTCCCCTGGCTTTGCCAATCTGCTGGTGTGAGCAGGATTGCAAATGGTCATTACCAACAAAAGCTCATAGGAGATTGATGGGCTTTTGAGATCTTCCCCGCCCTCTAGTAGTGGTAGAGAGAATTCCTAGCATTCAACAAATATTAGCTCGTGGTGATCACTGCTGCCCTAACAGTGACACATCACAAAGATGTCAACTACTAGTCTCCAGGCGCACGCAGAGCCAGTATCCTGGGCAGTCTCCATCTTTACTGATATTTTTTTTTCATCTTTTACTTTTTAAAAATTTTAAAAAGCACAATCTATTACTGCATTTGGGGAGCTGCTTTTCAGAATGCTCACTTTCCCAGGCAGGTTTTTTTCTCAGTGTGTGGTGGTCCAGGGATAAGAAGTCTTCCCCACACTGACAAGGTGCTTGTCTGACCTTGGTCACTGTTGAATCTCAGGGAACTGTTCAGTCCGGGCATCATGACCTCAGCTGGCCCTCATCAGTGAGGAACTAGAGCTTCAAGAAGACTGACAGGAAGACGCTGAGTTGGTACAAACAAAAGGAATCTCTGAGGTCAGAGAACATGGGTCTGATACATTTGAGAGAAAGATGGGGTGGGAAACGCCAGTACGTATAACACTTCAAAGAGCAACACAGTAAGCAAGAGGGATAGTTATATATATATATTTTAACTTGTTTTGTTTTTTGTTGTGGTGCTGGGGACTGAATCTCAGTCCTGAGCCACATTCCCAGGTCCTTTTCATTTCTTATTTTGACACAGTCTCTTACTAAATTGCTAAGTTGCCTAGACTGGACTCAAACTTGTGATCCTCCTGCCTCAGCTTCCCGGAGACCTGGGATTACAGGTGTATGAAACTATACCTGGCTTTCTAAAGAATCAGTTATACTTTTAAATTCTCTTTGCCCATGCTTCATGCTTCAGTAGTCAGCAAGCAAAATGAAAGGAATCAAGCAACTCCTCTAGGACTTAAGGACTAGCGATAAATTGGGACGTTCAGAGAAAATGCATATTTTATCAGACACGTAGAAGGAAGTTTCAACAATATTTGAGAGCCACACAAAATTGAGGAGTGAAGTGGCTGGAGAGTCTGCCACATTTCCTACTGTTTTTTTTTAGTACTAAAAGTATGGTTTCGGGAAGCCCACTTGGAACAGATTTCTCTCCTCACGCTAAAGACTCAGCAGGGCTTTGATCTCAGGACCAGCAGATCCTGGACTGGGAGTGGTGCCCTGGGAGGGGGGCTGCACTAATGGATATTATGCTTTTCCCCAGGGGTTGGCTTTTTTGATGCAAACCATTGGCTTTAAGCACCTGTGCTTTCTGGAAACATGACTTAGGGACTCATACTCAGCTGGGGTTCCCCTGGTAAGACCCTGGCTTACACTGAGAGAGAGCACTCTTCTGTCTTTCCAGGGGGAAAAGCCAAGACCCAGAGGGGTGTGCCTGATCTAAGATCATACACTGAACTGTGACACCTCTGGAGCCTGACTCCCTCCATTCTTCCCTTCTTCTCTTCCTCCTCTCTGGCCGCTTTCTCCTCCTCTTGTGCTATAGAAGATTGACCTCAGCGGCTTTGTACTGAGCTACATTCCCAGCCTTATTTATTTTTTATTTTGACAAGGTTTTGCTAAGTTGTCAAGGCTGGCCTCCAATTTGTGATCCTCTTGCCTCAGCCTGAGTAGCTGTGATTTCAGGCATGCACCTCAATGCTTGGCTAAGCTGGAACTCTTGAGCTCCATCCAGAGAGCTGTTTGTGTCACCTGGAATTCAATGGAAACAGACACCCAGGCAAACCTTAATTAGGGGTCCTGGGTGGCTATAGCAAAATCACTCTAGGAAAATTTGCCTCCCTCCCTCCCTGATAAGGGCTGGTGGGCTCATCTGGAGGTGAAAAAGGAGAATCAAGGTTGGGCTATAGCTCACTGGTTACAGCATGAACAAGGCCTAGGGCTTAATCTCTGGCACAGCCAAAAAAGAAACACTGGAGAGCAGAAATGGGGCATAAAGAGGCCTACACATCTGGTCATAGCACTAAATGAATTTCTACAGGCTAAATAGAGTACCACTAGGGACTGTTGATGGTTATTATTTTTAGATTTAATTACCAAATAATCCTTATCTAATGTGGGTGAAAGGAAAATTTCTTGGTTACCTGACTTTCACTGTAATATAAAGCAATGCTTTTTAAAATTTCTGTGGTCTTGGAAATGCATATTTTGAAGCCCAAGTTCTCAAAGTGTAGAACATGTTGCCTTCCATCCCACGGTCTCAGTAGAGTTCCTTCTACCCCAGTTTTCCCTCATCCTTGCATTTGCAGTTTCTGGGATCTTGTGTTTAACCTTAGGATTCCTCTATGGCAAGTGAAACTTTCTGTTTTGTAACCTTAAAGGTTTAGCGATAATCCCTCATCCTTGCAGAGAACTTGCCTTCCTCTAAAATTTTTACATTTCTTCTCATGTGATCCCATCAGACCTTTCAGGAAGTTGGGGCTACATGATTTACCCATTTTCTTGCCAAGGAGAGAGCTATAGCCCAAGTGGGAATGACAAGTCCATGGCGCTACATCAGGCAAATAATGAAACAGGAACGCAGGACTGCTATCACTTTTTTCTTAAACTTCTACAGAGCAGAAGGGCTAGCACTGGAACGTCAGCTTGGAGAAATGTAGGTTATTTCTGATTTGCAAGTGAGCTACAAGTGGAAATAACTTTTATTATTCTTTCAGGAAGATCAATGTTCCACATGTACCCTGAGCCCTAGGTGTCAATATTTCAGTTCTTGAAAGTTTCTTCACTACCTCATCCTTACTTTGCCAAGGGACATTTGATAGAAAACTTGTTGTAGCATACAATGCCTGCCAACTCCCAGCTGCGGAGCTGCATGGGGAGAGAAATCCCAGGGTGAATGTGATGGGTGGGGCCAAGGTACCTCCCATCCTGGGCAATAATCAGAGGAAGAGCTAGGAGTGGGGCCACTGAATAATGAAAACAGAGACCTTAGGCCTTGGGGACACGGAGATAGAACAGAAGGGTTCCCGGCATGACAGGATGCCTGCAGATGGGACAGGCAGCACATCAGGCATTGGATGTGCAGTTTTGGTGGCTCAGAATCTCCCTGTTTCTCTATCTTATTATTCTGTTTCATATTCTGAGTGATTCCAGGACTCTTCTGAGTGATCCTAGGACTGGGTAGAAATGATATTCACACTATTGAGCTACTAGTGGTATGACACAGTAGTAGCTCACAGTAGAACTGGTATGACACAGCTGATCAGTTGGATTAAACTAGGACAGAGCTCTGGGCAGGTGAACTCCAGTGGAACCAGGTGTGAAGGTTCCAGATGTTGGCTTGTGGACAGATCTTGTGGTCTGGGGAAGGAAGGGACACCCAGGGTAAAATTTCCAGGCTTCTTGATGTTATGGTTATTTACCAACAAGGATGAAATCATTTCAATATTTCACAAACTGTAATAATCTCACTGGTATGCCCTGTGTATGTCAGACTCAAAGAATCAGAGTATTCATGGCTTAGTAAATTATCCTCTCTACAGCATTACTGAGATGGATGACATTGTTCTGCCTGTGCAAATTTGTTTCCCTGCTGCAGTTGGGCTCCTCTTACTGCCTATGTTCCCCTCTCCTATGATCTAGACTCCTTTGGCAGTAATGGAAATACTCTCTGATATTCTTTGTCTCCTTGGAGGTTTTTACCATGGCAAATTTATGGTCACCAAACTCAATGTTTTCCTAAGACCAAGACTTGCTAAGATGGTGTCTACATTAGGAAGAGTCACAGAAGAGGAGCCGCCTGTAAGGTGGAATCTTGCCTTCTCAGATCAACTCTCAGTTATGGAACAGTGGCCAGATAATTTATTATTTAAAGTGGATCTTTTCTGATAATGCTTGGTGATGCTTTGAACAATTCTTATGGAATCATGAGCTGTCACAGGCAAACTGAGACATATGGTCATTCTACATCAGGATACTCCTTGAAGGCTGGTATTTCAGAATGCCTTGATTTCTCAGAAATGATCTGAACTTCGGCCCTACTCAGTATGTAGATACCTTTAGCTGCAGGCTACGCTAGGGCAGAGGATTTCCTTACCTCTAGTGCTTTAAGCAGGGAGCTAAGAGCATAATACAACATTTGTTCAATGCTTCCTCAATGAGAAAATAAGCATATAGGTAAATTAAAGGCTTAGTAAAAGGAAGATAAAGGTGATTGATATTCCCTAGACTAAGTGTGATTAGACTACAAAAGATTTAAAAGACCTCCCAAATTGAGCTCTTCTTGGAGTGTGGAACCAAAATTGCTTTATTCAGGAACGTTGGTAAATTAT